ATTGTTCAGCTTTTGTAATTGACACGTTGTCGGTCGTGAACGCTTGCTGAAGATTTGAGCAACAAAAGGACACGATATCAGCGGTTATCACGAGTGATTCGAAAATTTCGTTCGATCGACTCAGCAAAGGATCTGACTGATTATGAAGGGAATAATGATTTCTTCAAGAGAGCCTTACTTCTTTAGCGACATTAATGATGCCAACACGAGAAGTTCGACCAGTTGTCTCCTGGCTGACCGGTATTGCTTTAATGAATGAAGCAGCGAAATTGCGCACCTTAACTCATTCGAACAATTAATTTCTCAATTGCGTGTTCGCACTTTGCATTTCTTTTGTGTGAGCATTTCAAAATCTGTTGCGAGCAAGATCACTAGAAAAATTGGCGTTTTTGTGCTTGAACTTTATTCCTGTAAAGTGAGCAGCCAGTTTACTCGACCAGCACGCCTATTTTGAATACATCCAAAATCATTTTCTGGATTATTTCGTTAGGGACTGATTTGTTTTTGACTGATCCGAGTGAATATATTTTTCTATTATCAATTATTATCAAATTAGTCCCAACTGGAACTCACAGCATAGAAATCGTATCTATTCATTTCACTTGACGAATCTAGCACAAACACCAAATCAAGCCAAGTTTGACGATAGTCACAGGCACATCCTCGAGCTGATTTTGCACCTGAGGCGGTAATTGGTGTTGTTGTTGTTGTTGTTGTTGTTGTTGTTGGGAGTGGAAGACACGGCACTGTAGGTATTCACAATCATTTGAGGGTTTTCAAAAAAAAATTGGATGAATTTATCAGATGAATTTATCGAGTTTTTATTTTTTCACACAATTATCGCTGTTTAATATTTGCTGATCTACTGAAGTTTCAACACAGGATTCCTCATTTAATGAGAGTGACATATAATAAACTTTGAATGAGAAAAACTTCGTATTTACGTCAAGCCATGCAGTAATCACTCATTAAAGTATACGGTTGATGACAATAGTCTCACTGATCTGACAAAAGTCATCAACAGAATTCTCTTTCGTTTCACCTATTACCATCCATGATCCGGAATTTTAGAATGCAAAAAAATTTCAACGATTCCTACTAATATTCAATTATTTTACAATTTTTAGTAATCAATTGAATGCAACCTTAATCGTATTATCATCAC